CCATCAGTTTAGCACCTCGCGACTTCCCCCATGTAGAAGAAGGCATTAAGTTGGGTAGAATACATGTATTATAAGAGGAGAGGGGATATGGTCTTGGCGCACTTCAAAGACCAGACCAGGCGTGCAAGGACATGACGAATGCCAAATTGACTTTTCTTACAGTCCAGCACAGGCAGACATGCGTAAGACCAAGCAATGCAATGCCCCCAGATAAATGAACAAGATGCGTTGCTCCTCACCACCTCTTTGTTGGCAATAACATGCTTGGCCGCAATGATCTCGATAGATGAGCTAGACCCTGGATCATGCTAGAGTAACTGAAAAGAATCTCTTCTACAATATGCACATTATGTCCAACCAAGACGCCACCTTGTCTCTCTAGAGGATTGTGAGATTGCGCAGTCATGTGAATGCAGAATTATGACACCATCTGTAATGGTTTGTTTATATGACCATCTGGCGTCTGGCGGTCACTCTAAGGTTTGTCTGACCCTTGCTCGCATAGGCCGGCCTTCGGGCCATGCTCAGGCTTAATTACTTTGTCCTCCTTAGAATACATACATCCAGTTCCACTCACTGCTTTTCTACCCGGCGCGAAGTCTCGAGACGCTGCAGTTAAATGTGCGTCTATATCGTAATCAGTCGTGTAGCGTCCTGAGCAATCCCACCGGGTAGAAGTAATAAGTCGAGCTGGGCACATGTACTTCAAGAAGAACAAACAATTATGATCGAGCCTGACTCTAAAGTCAACTCACGTGTACAAAACAGGACGAACTTCGAGTTGACCGGCAAAACTTCGAGTGGTCACATAAACAAAGCATTACAATTCGTTATGCAAATTCTTAAAAAATTGAAAGTTCTATTATTTTTAATGCAGTTTTTTACTAACTTTATGTTTGTATGACTACTTTAACTAATTTTCGTAATGGTTCACAAAAATGGGTTCACTTATAAACTCCAAACGTTTTGGCCTTATGTTTGATTTGAAATTTTAGTTACTTTTTTTTAAAAAGCGCCCTTTGGAATGCCTGAAGCCAAAAAATGTTTTATATGGCAATTAATCTATTGTGTAAGGTCCATCTAATGACCTAGAAGCAGAATGCATTGGTTTACCTAGCCCGTGCCTCCTCGTCGAGAGTTGCTTTACGTTTTATTGATAACAGATACTATACCAGTGCGTTTGATTTATACCTGTTTAGTGTGAAAATGAGTACCAAAAGACGGAATTTAAGGAGAAGAGCCTCCAGTGAGAGTGATGATGAACTAGAGATCAGTACTGAAGCACCACAGTACAATCCATTGTACTTGTTTATCAAATTAGAAATGAGTTGCCAGACGAAGATGCTGATGACGTTATGAGAGAGTATGAAGAGGAAGAACGAGACAGACAAAACGACATAAAAGAACGCGACGCCTTTGTTCAACGTCTTTTGAGTCGGGATGGTGAATCGACCAAAAAGGTTGTCCGTGGCTCCCGCTTGGAAGAAGATCTTAAACGTTTGGAACGCGGCGAAGTGGTAAGTTTGTTTAATTTGGATTTGGACGAAACTTAGACCAGGGAGGAACTTCTTGTAGAACTTAAGAAGAAATCTCGCTGGGAGTACCTGAAAAAGCGGCAGTTAGATAAACTACAGGACTTAGAAGCAGAAATTCGTGACGAGGAAACCTTCTTCGGGGAGGAAGAGTAACCTTTTGTGATCTTATGAAGCGTTCTAGGCTTACTGAACGAGAGCGAACCGAGCTTAAATACAAGCGTACAATCCTTGAGGCTGCAAACGCTCACAAAGTTGTCACAGCTGAACAAAACGCTCAGCATTATTTCATTCCAACGGAGAATAAGGTAATCCGCTTATTGGTTTCCTACCCAGATTAGCGTCCTGATGACACATATTATGAGACTGAAGTTGAAAAAGGCCCCCACGGCGAAAATCGAAGATGGGAACAAGAGCACCTAAGTTCAGCGTTATTCAAAATTGGGGCCAAAGATAGCAAAGCTAAGGTACACTAACTTTTGTATGGTGATTGTGCTCTATGTTTGCACTCCTTCATTGCTTTCCTTATCTGTAGGAAAAATATGAACTTATTTTGGATGATGAGATAGAATTCATGAAAGCCTTGACCCAACCTGGTTCAAATGTAAGTCTTGAACCAGAATTGACACCTGAGGAGCAGCTGCGCAGGCGTTCGGAGGAACAAAAAAAGAGCCTTCAGGAAACTCGAAAATCTCTTCCAATATATAACTTTCGAAGAGCTCTACTGGATGCAATCAAGGACCATCAAGTCCTTATAATTGAAGGCGAAACAGGCTCTGGCAAGACCACTCAAATACCGCAATATTTGTATGAAGCTGTAGGTTGGCCACTTTGATGAACTTATCGTCTTGATTTTTTCTTGGTTGTCATGCGATTCGGTTCCAATGTCTTTCATTCCAGTTTTTAATCTAAGATTTATAGGCATACTTGTTCACTCTTTTCAGTGTTAGCATATCTGTCAATCAACGACTTGAAATAAAGTATCCTTGTCTTCTCTCTAAGCCTTTGTTTTATTTTTTCAAAACTGTACTATGGTTCCGCGTTCTCTGACCTTCAAGGAAAACTCAGGTAGCATTTGGGAATTACTTGAGGACGTCTAAAATTAGCGAATCCCTAGCGTCTTGATGAGGTGGGTGGTATCCATGTCTATAGCCATCTTTTCTTAACAAAGTTGGTGATGGGCTTCTGCTCCTCATCTTACATTTTGCTAAATTTTTGAACAAATTGTTTAGGAGAGACTCGCGCCCCCTTTTCATCGGCACAAATATTTTTGCGGGCTATTACAATTATTGAACTTAAATATTTTTGGCCTGACACTTCGTTGAAAATGTGGACTTCGGATTGTTATCTTGAGGTCATCGTACATTCTTCCTTTGTGATCTGGCTATCCGTAGCGAAACGACGACCACTGCGATGCTTGATATGCCCATAATCATCGAATTTAGAAGGAATTCTGATGAAAGTGTAAGCAAACAAAGCATTGTCCGCAACATGCATTATACAGGCATATGGTGTGAACTTTGGCACCGATAGTTTGTGGAATCGGCGGTATGCTAAATGATCTAAAAGCACTTGGAGTCACGGATTCATCTAATATTCTACTATGCATCATGGAACAAGAAGAATAACCATCGGCCTACTTTTGATCTGCCTTGCAGGGTTACTGCAAAGCCGGAAAGCGGATTGGTTGCACCCAGCCTCGGCGAGTTGCAGCAATGTCGGTGGCGGCACGAGTGGCGCAGGAAATGTCGGTGAAGTTGGGTTTTGAGGTGGGATACACGGTTCGCTTTGAGGACTGCACTTCAGATCGAACAATATTGAAGTACATGACCGACGGCATGCTACTGCGCGAGTTCCTTAGCGAGCCCGATCTCGCCTCATATTCAGTCATGATGATTGACGAGGCACATGAACGTACTCTCCATACCGATGTTCTCTTTGGCCTCGTAAAAGTGAATCTTCTTCACTTAGTTCTTTCAATGCTCCATCGGCTTATCTTCCTTACTAATGGCATTCATTTCCACAGGA